AAAAAAAAAAAAACACATGACAAATTCTTAAGAAATCTGATAGAATCTCTATAGCTATTTCTCAAAGGAGCAGATTTGAGTAGTAGTATTTTCTTCATACTACATAGAAGCGGTTCATTGATATTTCATATCTCCTATGGCATTATCATAACTATAACTCTCTTAGTGGAAGATTATGATGTCGTAGAAAATGTAGTGAACTTTTAGAGTATTTTTTTTCATAAAAGGAAGAATGAGTCACTAGATATTCCTTTCCAATTCAAATTGCTCAATTTTTGTGACTCTGTTAAGTTTAAGTATTATTGTTCACCTTGGCACGTATGGCATATATAGAAATCAGGCTTATCATTATTCTGTGTGAAGTAAGCCATAGTATCAAAACAAGGATTTGGAGGGGGGGGGAGGACTAACATAACTCAGTGTCTTCCAATTCAAGACCAGTTATATAGATTGACCCTAAAAACCAACCAGTACGGTTGGAACAGCCCTGGCGTCACCCACATGCACGCACATGGTGCGTGCGCACATGGGCACAATGCCCATATGCGTTGTAGCTGGAAATGATGCTTCCGCAAGCCTCCACGACACTCCAGTTGCTTGGTGGAGCGTCACGCAGGCACTGTACGTGCCATGAGCATGCATAGAAGTGCCGGCAGCTTTAAATCACGGTACGGCGCTCGGGCGGACGGGTCCTCCGGAGCACCATACTGGAACAGTACCCAATGCTCCGGGTAGGCTCTGGTATGCCCCTACTGGGGCGTACCGCCTGCAACCCATCACTGATCATATGCCAGCTGAATGTTTGCTTGATATGAGTTCATTAGAATACCACTGTCTGAAGATTGTCCCATACATTGCTAAAGAAAACCCAAACTCACCAGTATCGGAGGAAGATAAAGCCTTGCTTACTGAAACATTCTGACAATGGATTGCTTGAATGGATAAATCCTTTTCTATCCCTTTCAGTTTAGCAGGACTTTGCACTGGGGAAACTATTAGATAAAATAGCTTGTTTATTGTTTCATTTATGCATTATAAAGGACAAACCCAGAAAAACATTCACCTTTGACAAATAGATAAGAAATTAAATACATAGATCTGATAATTAGACCATTAAAAAGAACTTTACTGTACTAAGCCATACTGTTAATTGTTTGCTTTGACTTAGCTTAAAGCAGGGTATATACAGCATAATATATATTCATTCAACAAACTGTTCAGCAAACCATTAAGCAAACTATTAATTATTGTAATGAATAATTCCAATCTATTCCCTGCTTCATTTCAGATTTTTTAAAAAACATTATACTTTATGGAATATGAGCATACATTGCCTAAAAATTCAAGAGATAGAGAACCATTTATAAGACAGTCAAACCACACAGTTACTGTTTGTATTTCTTTCTCACAGCACATATTTTTCACTCTTATTTTTGTTTTGAAGCTACATTCACAATACAGCATACAACATCTGTTTGTTCTGAACAGCATAGTTAATTTAGTATCATGCTTGGAAGGGATTTTAAACAAATCTTTAAAAAAGACTTATGTGTAAGAATTAATAACTAGCTTATTACTACTACTGTTGTCCTGTATTTTATTTATTGCTGCAATTTTAACTGCATAGTTAATCATTAGTGAAGCATGAGGGGAAATCTTTGTTCCTTCGCAATTTTCCATGCATCTTCAAGATTTGACTGAGGAGATGGGCAACTGTCCCAAACAGAATTAGTGGCCAGCATATCAGCAAAGAAATTGAATGATGTTGGATTTCATTTAGTCATCTGAAACTTATTTTTCCAATGTTTAACTTGCAAGATTATACAAATAGGTACACAATATGTCTCCCATTTATAGTAATTCTGAAAATTGAATATTATTTTACTGATACTGGGGAAAAAAACAATTTGAACTAATGCATTTGATAGTACTAATATGGAGAAGTCATGGTAGAATATTAACTATGGATCATTCTACAATTCTACTAAAACCTGCTGCTTTATGTAAAATAATCAAGGCAATTCAGCACTTTTGTTCTATGGGAACAGAGTTAATAGGTACCCTATTAATTTTATATGACATGGGATGAACTTGATTGAACATGGGTAAGAGCTGCTATTAAGGTCTACCTGGTGGTGATTCATACTGTGTTACTTCTCCACGGTAATTGCATGTGCAGATAATCATCCAGCAACCCTCTTTAAGGTGAGTCGCCTCCTGGGGAAGGAGGAGATTGAGGTCCACCTGAAGGGGCGCGCTGAGGAATTTATGGATTTTCTGGAAGACAAAATTGCTCAACTTTGTTCCCAGTTAGATGCTGGCATGGTTGCTGGTCTAGTGGAAGCCCCTGAGGCAGGTTCTCGCTCCCTTATCTGGGAACAGTTTGATCCTGTTGCTCCTGAGGAAGTGGACAGAATGCTCACAAGCATATGTGTTTTAGACCCATGTCCCTCCTGCCTTGCAAAAGCTTCCTGGGAAGTGACAGGCAGATGGACTCTGGTGGTGATTAACACTTCCCTACAGGAGGGGATAGTGGACCAGCACTTTAAAGAGGCTGTGGTCTGCCCTCTTCTTAAGAAGCCATCGCTGGATTCCACCCTGTTGGATAATTTCTGGCCCCTCTCCAATCTTCCCTTTTTGGGGGAGGTTGTTGAGAAGGTGGTTGCCCGGAAGCGCCAGAAGTTTCTGGATGAAATGAATTATCTTGACCCCTACCTGTCATGATTCAGGCCTGGATTTGGGACAGAAACAGCATTGGTCACACTTTTTGATGAACTCTGGCAGGAGCGGGATGGGGATAGTACATTCATTTTTGCTCCACTTGATCTCTCGGCAGCTTTCGATACCATCGACCATGGTATTCTCCTGGAATGGCTTCAGGTGATGGGAATGGGAGGCCTTGTGCTATCCTGGTTCACTTCCTTCCTCTGCAGCTGCTCTCAGCCAGTGTTGATAGTAGGGGAGAGATCCAGTCCTTGCCCACTGCTTTGCAGGGGTCCGCAAGGCTCAGTTCTCTCTCCGTTCCTGTTCAACATTTATATAAAGCTGCTGGGCGATATCATCCATCACCATGGACTGAGGTATCACCAATATGCTGATGATACTCAGCTGTATGTCTTGGCCTATTTTGAGTTAAGTGATGCTGTGTCCTCCCTCTCGCAGTGCTTAGAGCAGTGTTTCTCAACCTTGGCAACTTGAAGATGTCCGGACTTCAACTGCATTGGCTGCCTATTTGCTTCCAGGTGCAATTAAAGGTGCTGGTTGTCACCTTAAAGCCCTTCATGGCTTGGGACCAGTTTATCTGAGGGACAGTCTCTTGCCAGTCACATCTACCCGACCCATCAGAGCAGGAAGGCAGGGAATGTTGTGGGTCCCATCCCCTAGGGAGATACACCTTGTGGGACCCAGAAGAAGGCCTTCTGGGCCTTCCGTGGTGGCTCCCTCTCCCTGAAACATTATTCCCCTAGAGATTACAATGGCCCCCACTCTTTCGGAAGGCACTGAAGACCTGGTTCTGCCAGCAGGCCTGGAGAACCCAGAGTGGGATGGAGCCCATTAAATGGCTCATGTGATCTGATATTGTCAGGTGGGGGTGATTATTGTATTGTATATTATAATCCTTTTTTATTCTGTAAGCCCTCTTGAGTCTCCATGTGCGAATAGGCAACAATATAAATTCAATAAATTCAATAAGCAAACAAACAAACAAACAAACAAACAAATAAATAAATAAATAAATAAGTGTGTGTGTGTCTACTAGTTCTGTTCCCATACAACAAAAGTGGTAGGTAGGTAGGTAATTAGGTAGGTAGGTAAGTAGGTAGGTAGGTAATTAGGTAGGTAGGTAGGTAGGTAGCTAGGTAGGTAGGTAGGCAGGCAGGCAGGCAGGTTGGAGGGATGGACAATTGTTCACTGCATTTATGTGAAACAAGATTTTCACACTGTGTGAAAGAAGCAACTACAGAAGCCAAAACACTAATCCCATTTAAAATATTTTGTGCAAAGAAAGAAATAATCAATTACTTCTATTATATACAGAAGTGAAGTAGTTGTTAAAAGGTAGAATATAAGGCTATTTGAGGTTCATTATTGTTATATACGGACAGACGTAGCCTAGAGTTGCATGTCCCTGCAGATTGGTTCGCCAAACTGCGGGAAATTTAAATTGCTGTCATCCTTAAAGAGCGAGCTCCGGCAGACCAGCCGGCAGAGCATATTGCTTAGGCTTGGAAATAAAAAAGTGCTGAAAGCCATTTGCGCTTTTCACCTGCTCTATTTGCACCGATCTAACATTGGCAACGAAGGACAAAGGGACCTGAGAACCCACCTCATGGCAACCGCGGCCATCTTACAACAAGAGAACCCTGAGACGACCAGCACAAGATGGCATCACAGACATCCCCAGCACCAGCAATCTTCGACCCACATACTGAGGACTGGCACACATATATGGGGTGATTCAGAATGTTCCTGGAGGCAAACGATTACCAAAACCTGCTGGACAACAGGAAGCAGGCATTGTTTCTCACGTACTGTGGCACCAAGATATACAAGATGGCACAGATGCTGATCGCCCCAGCCTATGTGGAATCCGTGTCATGAACAACCCTGCAACACGCCCTAGGAGACCACTATGCCCCATCTGCCACTCCCATGTAAGCCAAAACGAATTTTCGGCGCCAGCAGGAGGGGGAGACAGTGAACGATTTTGTTGCCAGCCTCAGGTAAATCACCACCAAGTGCGAATTCACAGAGCAGAAGAGATGATGAAAGACCAAATCATCCTGGACATGAGAGACCTCACCCTACAGAAGAAACTACTGATCAGGAGAGGGGTCTCATTTAAGGATGTGGTGGAAGAAGCAAGGGCTGTGGAATCATCAGACAACTCAGCGGCAGACATCAGGAAGACCAGCGGAGTGCACCACACATACAGAGAGCCTGACTGGTCCACCGAAGTCCCAGAATATGATGAGGAGTGGGACCACGCCAATGCCATCCACGACATTTACCCGGACAGGTGCCTGAACCCGAGACTTGGAAGGTAGGCAGCCCCGTTGTCTTGGCTGCATGTTCACATAAGAATGGCTTGCCGTTTCCGAGAGGCAATTTGCCGCCAGTGCCAGAAAAAGGGTCACATCGGCGAGGCCTGCAGAGCAACCTACCCCACCCCGTTCCAGCCCAAGCCCACGGCACCGCCAGGAAGACCTAACAACCCAAGAGCCAGCCATCAGCGGAACAGGTGCTGGGAGGACCAATACTAAACCTCCAGAGAAATTAACCACACCACCATAGGGCACTCAGACACCTCTGAGGGAGAGAAATACCACATCACTGTGACCACTGAAGGGGGACTGTGCAAAATGGAGCTAGACACAGGATCATACTTCACCATTGTGTCCTGGCAAATGATCAAGAAATTGAACCTCACCGCCAGCAGAAAGCACCTCAAGCCACCAAATATCAGTTTAAACGACTACCAAGGAAAGTGGATCCAGGTACTGGGCAGAATGGAAATCAAGGTGGTGTTCCATGAGTTCAAGGGCTGCCTACCCTTCACGGTTGTCGCAAGCAACCAACCATCCCTGCTGGGAGTAGAATAGTTCAAGCCCCTAGGACTGGACATCACAGGGCTGCACCAGATCACCACCAATAACATGGACCGACTGCTGGCAGAATTCGCAGACATCTCCGATGGGGGCCTAGGTAAATATACGGAGAAATCCATCTCATTCAACCTAGACCCCCATGTGAACCCCATCAGGCTAAAACGCTGAAGGGTCCCCTTTGCTGTATGGCTAGGGTGACCAGATGTCCCTCATCTGGCCGGACAGGCATGCCTTTTCATAATTTTTCCCGCGTCCCGGGCCGTTCTCAAAAAACCCTGCTTTATTTTGGTGCTCGCTGGCTCCCCCGCCCATCATCAGCTGCCGCTAGCTCGCTCATTCCATTCCCCAATCTATTCTATCTACACTAAAAATCTAAGCCAGCCCAGCCTGCTGCTCACTGATTGGCCTGGACTCCAGCCAATCAGTGAGCTGGCTGGGATGGAAAACTTTAAGCACGCATGAGGGTGCTTAAAATTTTCCATCCCAGCCAGCTCAC